GACTATTAAATACAGAGAGAAATCTATTCTTTCAGACTATAAGACAGTTATAAATATTCTGTATTATCTCAGTAGCTGATTATGAAGTTCAAGTTTAATAAAATAATTAAGAGAATTTCACTGAACTCTTTCAAAGTCTGTAAAACAGAGTTTTGAGAAGAATTCTGAGAGTATTTAAATCATCTTCTATTAAAGTAATGAAAATTAAAGCTTCAATTCTCTCTTCTACTATTAGATTTGAAAAGATCTGTATGAACTATACTCTGAGAGTTATAAAGATAAGCTTAAATTATATAATCAGAGAAAGAGTCTCTTCTTCATTTTCATTAATTAACTCTGAAGATTAACTGAATTGAAATAGATTTCTTAATTGAAATGAAAATAATTCTCTAAGAAAAATACTCTCTTAACTATACAGACTATACTCACTGATTAAAAATCAATTTTCTTTATTAAATATTGAAAAAGTTAATTATGAGAAGATATTTCTCTGAAGAGAAAAGCTTGAATCTCTTATAGACTTGTAAATAAGTGAACTATCTAAATGAAGAGAATATAAACAGTATTTGAAAAGAATTTCTATGATTAATATAAAAGACCCTATTCTGATTTATTCAGATAACTTAAAAAATGAGAATTTAAATATATTAGATACAGATATTGCTTATACTGAAGATAATATCAATTTTATCTCAGATTTCTGAAACTTAGACTGTGAATCTGAAGTCTTTGATACTGAACTATTTATAATAGTGAAAGCTTTCAAACTCATTGAAATAAAATCTTATAAAAGAGAAAATAGTTTGAAAAAGATATAAATCTTCTCTGATAATCAAGCTGTTTTAAAAAGACTTAGAAATAGTCAGATTTATAATAATTAAATGAATCTTGAACTGATTTTAAACTCTGTTTTCAAAATTTAAAAGAGAAGAATATTAAAACTAATAATTTATCTATACTAAGTTTCTACTTATATGAATATTTCTAACAATGAATAGACTGATTCAGCTGTAAAAAAGAGTTCAGAATTAAGTAAATATATTTAAAAAATTATATTCTAATCTTTTATAAAGAGAAAGATAAAAGAATCTTATTTAAATAAGTAAAATACAAGCTGATAGAAATAAAAGAAGAGTATATATTATTCAAAATTTAAAATAAAATTCAAGTGAAAATCTTATTTAATTAAATATAAAAAGAAAATATTCTCATCTATAATATAGCTGAAACTAGACTGATCATGTAACTGTGTCTGAGATCAGAACTAGATTTTTTGATAGTCTCATTATCAATTTAACTGATCTTATTACACAGTTTTAACATTAGATAGTAGTCTTATAAGTTATACTGTCTCAGTAAAACTTACTGTCTACTCTAGTCACATTTTTCAAATGAGATCATGATTTTCACTTCTCAATTTAAATTATTTTTACTGCTTTAAATGACTTTAAATCTCATTTGAGTATTATCAAAAAGTTTTACTTTTTAAAAAATTAAAAATAGTCTAAAAAAAACCTTAAAATGTGTAAAAATATTAACTTTATGTCAAGAATGAGACTAAATGAGATTAAATGAGATCACTTTCTCATTTCTTTCAAGTCATGATTTCATTTTAAGATCTGATATATAGTCACTTTACATGTTTTTTTGAAAGCTAGTCCCAGTGGGATTCATGCCAAGAAATGTATGAGATCAGATCAAATGAGACTAAATGTGAAATTCATGATTTCAGCAGCCAGTCTAGCTTAAACTAAAATATAGCTATTTTAAATCTTATATATAAAGATTTAATAATAGATTTAATTTAATAGAATGCTTATTCTATAATATAAATAAGAATTCTGAGTATATTATAATATACTGTGTATTATATAATAGTCTCAGAGTCAGATTGAAAGAGAAGTATAATTTAAATTAATTAAATATAAGATTCTTATTCTTAACTAAGATAGAAATTAAATACTTAATAGACTTTTCATCAGAAACTCAAGTAGTTATAAGAAAATAACTAAATTCAGAAATATCTGAATATAAAGAGAAGAAAATTAATCAGATATAGTCTGTTAAAATAACTATATACTATCTTTTAATAATTTATTTTATTATAGTCTCTCTTTACTTTACTTTTTTCTTTCTATTCTTTTCTATCTATTTATTTAATATATCTATCTTTAAGACTGTATTCTCTTTTCTTTTGTCATGATATTATTAAATGATTTTAAAGTATTAGAAGATATTAAAATAATGTAATTTATAAACAGTTTTTATATTCTGAGCTGGAATTTTCTGATTTTATATATCTGAAATTGATAAATGTATAATAGTTGACTTTATAGATATAGGAAAAACTCTTTTCAGAACTCATCAGATTCAGATTCAGAGAAAGAGAAAGAGAATATATCATTTCTCAACTATATTAATGAAAATGACTGGAAATGACCTGATCTTATACAAGATGAATTAGAGTCAGTTATCTTCTCAAGTTCTGTTAAAACTGCTGCAGGGCCTGATTCAATTAATCACTTAATTATTCAAAATACATATTTCTACTTAAAGAATGAATATTTTGAGCTCTTTTTCAATTTCTTGAAAAATGAATATCATTCTGAATGCTGAAGAGAAGTCACTGAAGTGATTCTTGCAAAACCTAATAGAAAAACTTCAATTTCTAAGTTATATAGAGTAATATCTCTATTAAACTGTCTAGAAAAGGTTTTAGAAAAGATAATAACTACTTAACTATCTTTTATAAGCTCTATTAATAACTCTCTTTTATTCAGTGAATAAATGAGAGATAGAAAACAATGTTCTGTAATTAACACTGTTCTCTCAGTTGTTTATAATATTTAAATAGCAAAGCATGAAGATCTGGTCTCAACTGCAGTTTTTATTGATATAAAAGAAGTATTTAATCATGTTTCAAAGTCAAAGTTAATTCAGATTTTGAAGATGTTAAAACTGTCACTTTCTCTAATAAAATGAGTTTACTATTTTATGTCTAAAAGAATCATACAACTTTTCTTTGATGAAATGAAATAAGATAAGACTGAGATAAAAATAGAAGTGCTGTAAGAATCTTCAGTCTTACTCATTTTATTTATAATATACACTGTATATCTATTCAAAGATAGAAATATGAAAATAGTGTGATCTCTAAGTTATGTAGATGATATTGATCTAGTCTACAGCTCAAAAACTATCAAAGAGAATTTGAAAGTGATTGAAAAAGCTGCAAAGAAAATCTTTGTCAGAGCAGATATCAATTAAATTCAATTTAATATGAATAAAACTGATTTAATTCATTTCTTTTCTAGATTCAATGAGAAAGAACTATCTCTAACTCTTTTAAATAGAGAGATTAAACTCAGTTTAAATGTTAAATAATTAGAAGTATGATTAAACTTCAAGTTGAATTTTAAATATCATATTCAACAAAGAACTGTCAAGGCAGAAAGACTATTAAATAACATTATCAGACTATTAAATATAGAGAGAGATCTATTCTTCCAGACTATGAGATAGTTATATATAGTCTGTATTATCTCAGTAGCTGATTATAGAGTTCAAGTTTGATAGAATAATTAAGGAAATTTCACTGAACTCTTTCAAAGTCTGTAAAACAGAGCTTTGAGAAGAATTCTGAGAGTATTCAAATTATCTTCTATTAAAGCAATGAAAATTGAAGCCTCAATTTCTTCTTCTACTATTAGATTTAAAAAGATCTGTATGAACTATACTCTGAGAGTTATAAAGATAAGCTTAAATTATATAATCAGAGAAAGAGTCTCTTCTTTATTGTCATTAATTAACTCTGAAAGTGAACTGGATTAGAAATAGATTTCTTGATTGAAAATGAAAATAATTCTTCAAAGAAAATGTCTTCTCAACTGTACAGACTATACTCACTGATTAAAAATCAATTTTCTTCTTTAAATATTGAAAAAGTTGATCATGAGAAGTTATCTCTCTGAAGAGAAAAGCTTGAATCTCTTATAGACTTATAAATAAGTAAACTATCTAAAGAGAAAAAATATGAACAGTATTTGAAGAGAATTTCTACAATTAATATAAAAGACTCTATTCTGATTTATTCAGATAACTTAAAAAATGAGAATTTAAATAAATTAAATGCAGACATTGCTTATACTGAAGATAATATTAATTTTATCTCAGATTTCTGAAATTTAAACTGTGAATCTGAAGTCTTTGACACTGAACTATTTATAATAGTGAAAGCTTTTAAACTTATTGAAATAAAATCTTATAAAAAAGAAAATAGTTTAAAAGAGAATGAGATTCTTATTCTCAACTGAGACAGAAATTAAATACTTAATAGACTTTCTATCAGAAACTTAAGCAGTTATAAGAAAATGACTGAATTCAGAAATATCTGAATATGAAGAGAAGAAAATTGATCAGATATAATCTATTAAAACAGTTATATACTATTTTTTAATAATTTATTTTATTACAGTCTCTCTTTATTTTACTTTACTTTTTTCTTTCTATTCTTTTCTATCTATCTATTTAATATATCTATCTTTAAGACTGTGTTCTCTTTTCTTTTATCATATTAAATAATTTTGAAGTATCAGAAGATGTTAAAATACTGCAATTTATAAACAGTTTTTATATTCTGAGCTGAAATTTTCTGATTTTACATATCTGAAATTAGTGAATGTATAATAGTTAACTTTATAGATATAGAAAAAACTCTGAGAACTTTTAATTCTCAGATAAATATCATAGTCTCTGACTGTATACATCTATAATTGAAGAATAATAATAATAATAATAATATAGAAAAAACTCTGAGAACTAAAAGTTCTCAGATAGATGTTATAGTCTCTGACTGTATATATAAGAATAATAATAATAATAATAATCTACATTCTTATCACAGCATTGCAAATCTTTGATAATTTCTATTCAGATTGATTAATACTGTTAAATTCAGCACTGTAAAAAGCTTTCTTACAGCCTCAGTGACTGAATGATTAATGTGGCCACTCAGTACCACCTTGGTTGTGGGAAACCAAGGTATGTGAGTTTGAAACCCGCAGAGAATACATTAAATCCAGAACTCAAGCACCTCAGATTTCTAATAAATACAGAGGTCAGAGGTGTACAAACCACTTCAATAAATTGCTCTATGTTCCTGGGATGAGAAGTTATTATCACATGTATCTAATTGTCACTCCAGTAAGCTCATTCAGAGACCACTATCACCCCTCATACCTGCTCACTTCCTTTACTTCACTTTCACCCCACCTACACACAACACAATGGTCTCCTCAAAACCTCATCACCGTCATTAGTCGCTATGGAGAGCATCATGCATACATTGCGCTGTCCAATCATCATTCGGTGCACAGCGGCAGGACAAGGCGAAGGGTAGATTCTATTGCATCATGGAGAAATTCAACGTTTTAAAGGATATCATTAACAGCCAATATAACCACTGTCTAGTTGTCCAATATACCCATGAGTACTCATGCTCTGCGGAGTCTAAGGACATGTATCTACATGCCTTCTTCAATATCATGCCCGTTACCTAAATGGCAATGAAGACATCCACTTCAGCAATGAGAACCTTGAACAGCAGCTTCGCGAGGCCTTCATTGAATTTGCAGAATACCTCCTTGACAACTTTTTTCTTCTGTGTAAGCTTGGTTTGCTGCCCTCTTATCTGTTGACTGCTGCTAATACCCTCAAGTGAAAAGTGCAGGTAAAAAGCCTCCTCAGCCATCTCCAGCCCCCCATTCTACAGCACGAAGAGCATTAGGAACAAGGGTTTGCTGGAACACCAGATCGACTATCTTCCCTTCGGGGTGCCTGCCTTGTCCGACCCACCACCGCTGTGTGATATCACGAAAGTTTGACTTCAAGGAGGCTGCAACGCGAGTTCAGAAGAACGACGATGGTGTAAGAGATAATGATGGAGCTTTGCTCAAGGATGACCCGCAAGCATTTGAGACCCCGCAAGTGGCCCATATACTCCCACATTCTCTCATGAAGATTGAAGACGGTTCTGAATTGATTTGTCTCTCTACAAGGTTAATTTCCCTTTAGCTTACTGGTCTAAACTCAAAGTAAGGAGGCTCTCATAGCGATCCTGAACATGTTTGACAGTGGCGTCGCGCATGTGATTGAAGGTTGTGAGATAGACCGGCCTTTCAACGCCATCTCTTACGCCTACTCTCCATAATCTCTTTGGGGGCTTTCAAATGTTCTTTGAGCCGGTCTCAACCCAACTGCCTCATGTCTACAAAATCGGCTCATATCTCCTACCCTTCCTCTTGCGAGATCCAGTATTGCCAGTAACTCGAGAGCTATACCTTTCAGAGGAAAGAACAATTGACCTTCCTCTGCCTCAACTCCTAGCAATCCATAGTGCCATTGCTCATGTCCTTCACCTCTTCGCCTCTGGTGAATACATTGATAGGCTTCTGCGGAATCAAGAGGAGATAGGCGTGAAGGCAGATGGGTCTACTGAACTGGGCCGCCTCATCAAACTTAGACTCTCTGGGTGGATAACTAGTGGTTGTCTGAGCCACTTGTTGACACCATGGTTTGATATCCCAATTGTGAATGTCTCAGCTATGTTTAGTTGTATTTTATGGACATTCTGAACAGGGTACAGACCGGACTAGGTCTTTGATGGTGGTTACTGCCTGCTTTATTATATTTACGCTCTGTAGCGTCTGGATATGTTATTGTCATGATTAACGTATATTATTATGTAGGAAACTTTTCCCGGTTCCCACGGTTCTATATAGTCTCTCCACAATAGTAAGATTTGTAAGGCTTGCCTTTAGGTGGAACCTTCACACCAATAACGTACCGACTTCCAGGGCCCGATTTTGCTATTCTTCAAAGAAGCTACAACATCTATATAGTGAGAATAACTCCAATATACTTATGTATGATGACGGCGATCTATCAGTGAACAACCAAGCTGCTGGTCAAGGTCCCGCTCCCCAAACACTTGAATTCAGCACCAGCCGTCAATCTAATTCTTCGGAGTGTGAGATGTTGGGCATTAAGAAAACAACTATTACCATTCTTGTGTTCATTCACCTGGGCTTGATCTAGCTCACTTCTTCACTGGTGGTTCCATTTCCTCCTCATCTCCCATTCTTGGCGGTTCTTTATAGAATGCAGTGTTCAACAGACCTGGGTGCAATTTAATTTATGCCCTTACAACAAAGAGAGGGAGAGATGGTGAACAGGGGGGTAGCTCTTACACCAATTTTCAGTTTCAAACTCTGATTGCCTCTCTCAGGTGATATTTTCATGACTCAATTCTGATGCTCTCCTCTATTCTCTTTCCCTTTCAACGGGGTGCGATCACCTTTCTTGATATATGTGCTGCTTGAGTGGTTCGTAGCCTAAGCTCTGGAGTAGGGGAGAGCTAGCTGTCCACCATAGTGTGTATAGCCTCTAGACGCTCTGGAATGGGGATAATCTTCTGCTTTGAGACGCATGTCAGAGAGAGCCGCAGAATTCAGCATGTACAGATTGCTGGCAGAGTGATAAGCCAGGTAAAGAAGAGTATTCAGATATCAGACCTGACTTTGAGAGGTGTTAAGAGTAGCTAGGCAATGAATAATAAGTGGAATTGAGCTTTGACATAGAAGAATTGTGATTGGAGTTGTTAATCAATCAATTGATGTGTGGAAACTCTGTTTCATGATGGGTCTGAGCATGATTTGATATTCTTGAGATTCTTCACAATTGATGATGAGTTCAGAACACCACACATCACATTATTTATCCAGAAAAGTCACAGTCATTATTACTTTCTTGACAAGACCAGAGTTCTTAAACCTGTATGAATTCATCAATAATTAATTAACACAGACTTCAGATCTGATTGTGATATCTTTTCACTGTACAAGCTTTCTGAGAGTAAGATTGATGACTTTCTAGTTTAGCTTGGATATCAGCGGGAAGCTCAAAGAGCATACGTTTCCATGCCTGCGTCATGATATCTACCATCACCTGTTGTTGCTTAAGACTTGCATGGACCTCTAGGCTCACGATGATTGGTAGATCGCTGGTGACGAATGCATAATCTCTAATTGCATAGGTATTCAGATGCTGTTACTCTCTGATAGCTGTTGCTGATGTTATAACACTGATGATAATTATAGATAGAATTCACAGAGATATAATTGTGATTTGTGTTAATTACTGTGTAGCTTACTGTTGGGGGTCCCGCGGTTGATCGGCCCTTCTACCAGCATGGTGATCGAGCTCTTTTGCCCCAGTAGCCTACACTTACATATTATTACTAAATCATATGTGCCAAGTAAACTTATATCAAGTTAATCTTTTATCCCCACCGTATTTAATTTCTTAACAAAATTAATTAAAAAATTCTTTCCTAATATAGTTGAAAATAAGTCACTCAAATTTGTCCACTTTCACTAAAGGCCGTTCAGATTTGATGCCAAATTCAGTCCTCATTTCATTCTCATGTCATCTCATTGTATGTATTAAAGTTTTGGTTTTTAAAACAAAAGGTAGAGAGACCTTGCCGCTAAGGAAAAGAAGTCACAAGAAAAGAAAATCATTGAATTTAAAGAGACCAAGAAGAGGAATGGGAAAAGTAGGAACTAGGAAGGGGATTCACTCATTGAATCCAAGGGGAATAAGAAGCGAAAAAAATAAAAAATAAAAAAATAAGAGCACGGAAAGGAGGCAAGATAAAGGCAATGGCGGAGGAAAACGTGGGACATGCAGGAATTGGCAGTGGAGCGGGTTTGAGATCGTCATGCAAAAGTCTATCGTAGATTCTCTTCTTCCCTTCATCTTTCTGTTTTTCTCCTGCTTTTTCTCCCCGTCTTTCGTCTCTGTCTTCTCGCTATAACCCGGCCGTCCTCGTCGGGCAACTCCCGATATCCCACCACCCCGAGCCCAACCTGCTTTCCTAGAACAGCGGAAAAAAGCAACAGCCCTCATGGTAGGTTCGTTGAGGGAAAATCCACCCCATCCACATGCATGTAGCCACATCAAAGAATCCAATTTGATATATACTCATATAATCATAAACAAAGAAGCGAACCCGGATGTGTGTTTAAGGGTGGGGGAAGGAGGGAGGGTAGATAGATAGATAGATAGGTGTGGATGATGATGATTTTGGGAAGTTAGTGGTTGTGGTTGCTTGTGAAAAATGAAACAAGATTTCCGCCTCATAAGTACATACATTTCTGATTTATGATGAAAATAAAAGCAATGAGATGATAATAATAGTAATAAGTATCAACAAAAATATGATTTTTTCCAAAATGGCACAAATGAGAAAGAGAAAGAGAAAAAAGGAACATAAATAAGAACAAAAAGCCACCCAGATTCATCCACCCATAAAACGCCAATAAGAAAAATGTCTGCTTGGTTTGCCCGTGGATAGTGAAAAGAGGAGAGACAGAGAGGAAAGAGATAGCTGCTCAAGTCGTGCGAGTGGAAGTATTTATAGGAATCGAGAGGAGTGTGGTGAGTTTGTAAGCGTGGAAAACAGCAATATATAGAAGGGACGGAACAGTTTCGTTCGTCCGGCGGGGTGGGTGAAGGAAGAGAGAGAAGAAGAAAGCGTTTCTCATCGACGGCAGGACGATTTGGCGTGCCAGCAAGAAGAGGATAGGAAAGAGACAAAAGAATAAGAAATAAAAATAAGAAAAGCACTCATACCAACATGGCCATGGTAGATGGGCTGGTCACACCAGCTTTCAGCCAGAACAAGGAAAAAAGAAAACAAAGATTACTTAATCCCAATTAATCACACGTTCCCCTCCGATATATATACCCGGGAGGAAGGAAACAACACAAAAGGCAACTAGTTTTCTCTCGTAGCATCTTTTTATCAGGTGAGAGGAAACAAAAACTAATTGTGTGATATATATATATATGTAGGTAAGAAAGAGTAGAGGACGAGGATGAACAGAGCAACCGTGATTCAAGGAGATGCACACTGGGACATTATTAATAAAAATCGACATGAATTCGACAGCGGTATGATATGACCGATGACGGAGGTTAAAAAAAGTGAAAAGTAAAACACGCGATCTTTAGGGTATGCGATTCGTCTGCATCGGATTAACAACTGCTTGGGAGGTATGCGTAAACATCTTTTGTCGTTTAGAAAATGAATTTCCATCAGCCGCACCACCGATGTCCGACATCTGCCGACGGTGTTGGACGCGAGCTGCCGCCGTGGCTGCTGTAGGGTTCATCGTGGCGATTTGCGGTTGTGGATGTGGGTATTGAACTCCATTCTGGTCGAGTCCATATGCTGCTGCCGCTGCCGCTGTGGTTGGGGTTTGCTGCTGCATGTATTGACCGGGGACATTGGGGGTGATGGGTGACATGCCCTGGAATTGACCGGGGGACTGCCAGTTATTCATCGACGCGGCTGGTGACGGTCCTGGGGAATTTTCGTCCTTGACAGACTGCCCTGCGGAGGTTTGGGCCATGGGCGCGACGATGGCTGATTGGGGCGCTTCTATTGCGCTTGGTATTGTTTTTAGGTGATTTAAGTGTCTTTCGAGTACGGTGAGGAGGCTCTGCCGTGTAAATGGTTTTGGAAGAACGTCGTTCATGCCTTACGGAGGTTTTAGTTATGATGGTCATTCAAGGGGATGGAATAGTTCACACATACCGTGTTGGAAATAAAGCTCAATGTCACTACTGCGGATATTCGATGTCATGGCGATTATTGGTGTAGTGTCAACCCTCCTGATTACACTGCAGGCGGAAACCCCGTCAAGATTCGGCATGATGATATCCATCAATATGATATCGTACTTAGAACCTTCTTGTATTTTATTAACGGCTTCAAGGCCGTCGAGCTATAAGTATGTCAGGGATCTGAGAATGGATAAAAAGAATAAGCACTCTGTTGAAAAGGGGGTTTACATACCGCGTAATCAACAGTGCAACAAAACGAGAGCAAAAATTTGCCCCCAACTTGTCGACACGTCTGGTCGTCCTCAACTAGGAGAATGCGGGGAGGCTGTACCCAACCTGGGTTGACGTACATGCTTTTTTTGCGTCCATCCACGTATTGCCGCCGTGGGTCGTTAGGATCGAGCTCTTTGGGAGGGAAGGAATACGGAATGTTGTTGACATGTTCGCTATATAGTGGCTCGATACCATTGGGCGCACCGACAGGATAAACCATCTGCTCCAGTTCGCCATTGAGTTTAGAATATCCCAGTGTCGTGCTTGAGCCAGCCGAGGTTGGATGTCTTAGCGTTCCATTCCGCTGGATCTGATCTAGCGGAGGCGTAGGGGCAGCCCCTGGAAGCCGGGTTGCTTGCATGTCAGTCATAGACTCCAGACTACCCAAGTTCATTTGGATTTCGTTGCTCAGCTCGCTCAGAATCTTGGTGGCTTGCTGCAGGGGGGAGGCGGCGTCGTCTTCAACCGGGGCAACTTGGGAAGGGCTCAGGTCTGGCCCGCTCGTACCCTGGAATGACACTTGCGTTCTGTTTTCTCGTCTATGCCGTGCATCAACACCATGTAGGTAATTCATCATGTAGTGGAGAACCTGCTCGTGGCTTAACATCGTTTTCTGCACTCTTCGAACTTCGGTTTGCATCATTTGATTTTCCAAAGCCAATTGTGAAAAACGATCGCTTAATTGTTGAAACTGTTGTGCCTGAGCCACAAGCTGCTGATTAAGCATGTCAAACTGTTGGGTATGGAATGAATCATCGTTCGACTGGGCTGGTTTTCGTGGTGCTGGTGCTTTCCTTCTAATATTATCCAGCGATTCCTTGTTATTGGCTTTGAATTCCGGGTGCTTGAACTCCCAAGCCTAGAAAAAAGAAGAAAACACAAATTGTTAAGTATGGGATTGCATTGCGGATGTGTGGGAGGGAACGAGATAGCTTTCGTGCTCGGAAGGGAAAGGCTTACATTGGGCCCGTAGGGTGATTGGCCAGATTCTTCATTATTCTGGCGAACTTTGTGGAAGTCGTACTTGTTGAGCTGTCGGACGAAACTGGCAAAGTTGCTGTGTTTGAAGTGTTTTGGAAGGATTGACTTGGTGAATTTCTCGCACTGGAAGTATGACAGTCGTTAATCACCAGTCGTCCATCCATATCGGCTTCATGCTACCCGTCGACACCAAAGCAAAATGTGTATGTAGACGCCCGCCTTACCTCTAATACGACAAAGCTGTCATTGTCATCGCCCCAGCGCACAATTTGTGAGTATGACGGATCTTCGAGCATTCTATCAACATGCACATTTGTCAGAAACTATACTGGACAGCACCCGCCACTCGTACACCTATTATGCGACATAATTTCTATCGACCAGATCCGTAGGAGGAAGATGTCAAGTTATGGAGGGGAAGGGAAGGGGGGAGGGTATTTATTACTTGTAGAGTTTTCGAACCTGGAGCGGGCGAAAAAGGAACAAGAGTTAGCGATGCATTGTTTCGAAACAATAGACAATTCTTTGTAAAAGAGCAAGTGGAAACGGGGGACAGTCTTACAAAATCGCTGGAATTGCCAGCAGGGGCAGCCGGAGCTGTTGGGGTGCTGCTCTCGAGGGCCATGTTTACTATGATGCGGAGGGATAAGGAGAGGGGCGGCTGAAAATGGAGAGGTTCTGGACCTTCGAGGCGATAAGGTCGGCGGCACAAAAGAAAACAAAATATAGCAAAAATCAAAAATAGAAGATCTAGGAAAATCAAAAATCAAAAAAAAAAAAGACGATAAACCAGAGAGCTCAAGGAATTAAATTGTCCGAAACGAAGGTAAGGAAAAGGTGGGAGGGCGAGGGTGAGAAAGAGAGGAGAGGTAAAGTGGTGAGGATGGTCAGAAGTTGAGCGACAAAAGTGTTTGAAAGATGAGAGAGGAAGTGAAAGAGAGGGTTGGCTTGGTTTGCTTTTTTGGGGGTGGATTTTTATTATTATTATTATTATTCTTTATTTTTTTTTGGCTAAACTCGGTGTTTTGCTCGGGGTTGAATTTTTGTTAAATAATAGCTAAGAAGCGGCGGTTTAACCGTGAGTCGGGACACGCTGATTGGAGAGTTACTAGAGAAGGCAGCGTGTATTTTCCGACAGCGACCAGGACTCGCGGAACCCAGAGCCCCATCAGCGTCAGAGGGTGGTGGCGATCTGGCAAGCTGGATGCGAGAAAGAGAGAGAGAGCGGGGAGATGGGCGGAGGTGGATTGATGGATTGATAACTGTCTATCGATAAACTGCTACTGCTGTTGCTGGAGGGTTTCGGAGCCTTGCCGGGTAACTGACGATCTCGAGGAGAAGCGGGAGCGAAGGGAGTGAAGGGAGGGGATTCTGGGTCTGGTGCTGTGTTGACTGTAGTAATGGGATAGAACTATGCACGGGAATGGGATTGATAATGGCTGTTGCAGCGGTGGCGGTGATGGTAGTGGTGCAACGGCGAGAAACAGGAGAGAAAAGGCGGCTGATCGCGGTGGCGGGCATTGGGGAGCAATACAGGAACGAGGGGAAGGGAAGGTAGAAAGGCTGAAGGTAGAAAGGCTCAAGGATGGCTGTAGAGGAGGAACACAGACACAGAGAGAGAGATGGGGAGCCGATGGTACGGGACGAGGGTGAGCAGCAACAGGCTGCTTCAGAGCTCTTCACTGGCTGGGATGGGATTATTATTTTTATGTATTATTATTATTATCACTTGTTTTAAGGTGGTAAAAGAGGTGAAAAAAGTGGTGGGGATAGACGGGGGATTGCAGAAACAGTGGAGAGCAGCCGGCGAGGGGCCAGAAACAGCCTGGCAGTCAGACCAGACAGACACACAGACAGACAGACAGACCAGGACCAGAGCGACTGTGTGTGGTGGGCATGGATGGGATGGGATGGATACGATGGGATGGGGATGGGGCGAACGGAATTATGGAGAACGCAAACTAGCACTGGGACTAGTCTGACTAGTCAGCTAATGCAATAGCAAGAAGAAGAAGAATAACTTAAGGGAGAGAGAAATAATAAGAGCCAAAGAATAAAACCGACAGGAAGAATGAGGAAGAGGAGAATGAAGGAGAATTATTAATTACTATTATTGTTGTTTCAAGCGCTTGAATCCTGTTAATAGGAACTGATGAAATATGAAATCACGAATGGAAAGAATCAATCAAAATACCGAACATAAATGATACAAGCAAGATCTTGCTTTCTCTTTCCCTCCTCCAGAAGACGGTTTCGGATTATTATTAGAAGCTGCTTTCTCAAAACGCCCTCACCTTCAACCGGAGCATTCAACCGGAGCAATAGCCGCCCGGTACGTTGCGTCTCTTTTTTCTTAAATTTTTGCCTCTGTTCAGCCACACCCAAGTACCATTTCATCTTTTATCCCCACTGTGAGATTTTTTGACTCAGGTACAGAATACAATATTATTTATCATAGTGAGGGCAAGAGTAATGGAATAGCCCAGCAAGATGTGACTGATTCTATCTTTTCCCTTTTTATCTCTTTCTTAGCTGTAACAACTGTTCATGCTCAATTTCTCAGATTATGTTCAACTGCCCTGCCAAAGATACTAGGGTGAAGTCTATATACACACCTGGCTGCCCAGTTTAAACTGTATTAAGTTTGTTTTGTACATACATACATGTGCATGTACAGTACATGTACATGTAGGTTGCTCTATCAGGCCACTCTGTCTGTCTGATAGATAAGTTTCTTCCTGCTGCTCTTTTTGATCCACCATCAGCTCCAGATGGCTGATTGGGCTGATAGCGGAAAATCATCCACAGCTTATTATTATATGAACACAAGTTCTTCTCACTCACTTGGACAAAAGAGGGGAAACAGCCCCAGCCAAAACTTAAGCAGCAATAATAAAATAAATAGTAGCCGCGCATATTATTAGAGAAGATGTCCAGCACAAAACTTAAAAAAACCCGGCTTTTATTTCAGCTGTTGAGCTACCCCATGATGTTTCTCTACACCTTATACTTGTACTGGACAATATATGAAGTATCAAGGTAATGTTGTGTCTGAATAGCTAGCTTACTATGCAAGTTTCATGAAACATGATCATCATTTGTTTAGTTATTCATTTTTTCAAATCGTTGTACATATATAGAAAAGATAATATATGAAAAAAAAAAAAAATCAATAAGAAAAAGCAAAAGAAAATAAATGCTTTTCCCAGTTTCTGGTTCTTCGATTCTTCCATGATTCATCATTTAAATTGCTTGGGGGTAGATCATCAGTTGCTTAATTAGAAAAAGAAAAGGAAAAAGAAATGATATCTCGTATTGTGTTCTGCTCAAAGCTTCTATAATCTCATAAGTAACCAACCAAACACGCGCGGGTAATAATATCAATATTTTGCTTTTTCGTTAATCTGGGACAGGGCTTTCGTGCGTATGCAAAGGCAACGAACGGCAACACGGCACGATGAAAGAAGGCGAGGCGAATGCAAAGCCGAAAAAACAACCAAGAAACAGGAGAATTAAACAAAATATGATCAATAAGAAAACTCTTCCCTGCTCCGGCTGTTCCGTACCTGGGGAGGGAGACGGAGGGGGGAGGGGGAGGGGGAGGGGGGGTTGAGGATTTTGCAGGGATGGTAGAGGCTGAATAGACGCGGGCTTTGGGGGTGTCCGGGGATATATCCATGCAGAAAGTCAGAGTGGCTGCAGCAAACCCGTCAGTCATACGAGGGTTATGATGGCATAACTGTTCAAGGCAATTATCAAGGTAGTTTACAGATTAGTTATGTTCATACGAGTAAAACTAGGCTGAGGTTCGCGCGTGTCTGCTGCTTTATCTCAGCAATATCTCGCCATCATCACCTCATCAGTCTGCTCATTAATTAAAAGACTAGCAATAAAACTGCTTTCTTGCAGAATGAGCCATGTCATTATATTCTATTTGGGGAAAATTCCAACTACTAACTAACAGTTAAGAAAAAGAAGAAAAAAATCAACCTAGTGTTTTATCTGAGAAGAAGAGAATCTATGTAGTTATCTATCTAGCTCTGCAGCTGTCAAAATTCTTCTGAGAAGCACGACATCTCAAATGTGTGTCATGAACGGCTGTGCTAGTTGACTTATCAGCAGGCCAAATGTGTGTCATGAACGGCTGTGCTAGTTGACTTATCAGCAGGCTCAGACCACCCTCAACACGTGCCTTTGCTAGCTCAACTACTCCTGTAGGCTGTAAATTAGTTCACCACAACATAATTATCACCACAATGTAATTTTTATCAATTCCATCATTATTCTCATGATTACTAACAAGCATCAAATGCTCGCTTACGCTCGCTTTGCTGCTTGCGCAGCCCCATCTATCTCTACCCCTACACCCCTCTTACCACCCCTTCCACCCCTTCCACCCCTTCCACCCCCTACCTCCTCTACCACCACCACCACCTCTACCACCCCCGCGTGGGATATTCCCACCCCTACCACACCACAACCCCGGGTCAAATTGCTATACAAATTGTAAGGTGAAGAGACCTAGCTCTATGCACCAATCTTAATTCTTTTTTACACTTTTTATTAACTGATTTGAGTTGCACACTTATTATATAAGAAGAATTAAATAATTCTAAATAAAATTAAATAGTTTTAATCAATTTCTCTTCAAAAAATCCATTTATTTTTTGTTAATTTTTCTCTTAAAAACTGTTATATAATTTAATTCTCAGTTGTGATTATCTTTTCTCTCAGGCCCGGTGATGTAGTGGTTAACTACACTATCATGAAGCCTCAATTGACAGCCTTTGCTCTGAGAAATGAATGTTAAGAGAGAGTAGATTCAAACTCTGTAAGAGTTATCTTAATCACAGCTTTCACTGTTAAATTATAAAACAGTATCTGAAGCTCTCAGATACACTATAGTAAATTATTATTAAGTTTAAAATATTTATTCTGAGAATTTCTAAGTATTAATTCTCACTGATCTTAGAATTAACTGTCTCTCAGATACTTTAAGTTAAATCAGTACTAGAGTAATTAAGATTTAGAATATCTGTGAAATAGTAAATTATTATTAAACTTAACTAATCAGATTTTATCTCTCTCACTCTAAATACTCACTTTTAAAGAATTGAAATTTAAAAACTATTTAATTAGAACACTCTGAGTCTAGTAAGAATTTAAATAAGATAAGATTTAAATACTCTTAATAGATAATTAGTATAAGTAAGACTGTAATAGTTAATTAATAGACTGAAATACTAAGATTAATAGTTAAAAAATTAAAGACTTAACTAGAATTAAGTAGCTCTGATATTATTCTTAGTAAGAATCTTATTTATAAGTAAGCTAGTTATAGAAGCTAGCTGAGCAGCAGCTCTTTAAAGAGAATGATAATCTCTGAAGTAAGTCTGAGAGAACAGAGATAATAATCAGTTATATACAGTGTTAAAATATGTATATAGCTTAAGATATAAACTGCAGAGATTTTATTCTATAGTTTTCTTTTCTATTCTTTTCTATTTACTTATTTAATATGTCTAGTATTATTATTATTATTATTCTTTCATTATACTTATATACAAGTGAAGCTTATAATGAGTTCTTATATAATGTTAAATACAGACTAAGTGTTAATTATACAGAAGAAAATACAGGTGTTGAGATCACACTAAGATAACAAGAACATAGAAAATACAAAGAATTGACAATTAAATACATGTAATAATAACTTCTCATCTTAGAAATATAGAGTGATTTACTGAAGTAATTTGTACATCTCTGTATTTATTAGAAATCTGAAATGCTTAAGTTCTGAATTTATTGTATTCTCTACAGGTTTTAAACTCACATGTCTTGATTTCTCATGCTAAAATGCTATTAGATGACCGTGTTAATCATTCAGTCACTGAGACAGATTAATGTGTCTATCTTTAAGACTTTGTTCTCTTTTCTTTTGTCATGATACTTCTAAATGATTTCAAAGTATCAGAAGATGTTAAAATACTGTAATTTATAAAGAGTTTTCATATTCTGAGCTGAAATTTTCTGATTTTATATATTTATAAAGAGTTTTCATATTCTGAGCTGAAATTTTCTGATTTTATATATCTGAAATTGATAAATGTATAATAGCTAGCTTTATAGATATTAGAGAAACTCTGAGAACTGAAAGTTTTCAGATAGATATTATAGTCTTTAACTGTATACATTTATAATGAAAGAATAATAATAATAATAATAATCTTTTCTCTAAGTTGTATTTCAAGAAAGAAACTGTAAAGGTTTTATTAATTTATTTTAAAAAATCAATCTTAGTTTATTAGATTCTCTTCAAAAATTTAATCTAGTTACTGAATTAATGAAAAATAAAATTAAATATTTTATACTTAAGAAGCATTTTATTCTTTTGAAATAGTCTGATTAACTTTTTAACTAGAAATAAATTAATAAATCTTTCAATTGAAATAGTCTTATCAACTTTTCATTGAGAAAGTAAAATGAGTTAAAAACTAAATTCAATTAATATGAAAAAAGATGTTTTTTCAGATAGAATTTCTGAGATTGAAATTCTGAATTAAAGAAAGAAAGAAGAAATTGAAAAACAGCAAGTTCTTAAAATACATGAGCTGGAAAAAGCCAGTAAAATTCTTGAAAAACAGTGTCTGATTTGAGATGAATGAAAGAAGTTCTGTTAATTTTTTCTACTCAAGTTAGATAACTACAGAAGATAATCACGTTCAGCCTTGAAATTCCAATAAAGGTCAAAAAGCTTTGAAAATCTTAGTATAATCACTGGACTCTTCTCTCTCTCTTCAAATTAGAAGAAAATATATGCTCAAGTAGTAGAATCTACTGTTTTAAAAAATACTGTCTCAAAATCTGCTAAAAATTCTAATCAAACTCAGAAGAAAAGTACTTATATTCTTCTTTAAAAGAAAGAAGAGAAAGAATTGCAGAAAGAGAACAACTTTCAAATCTTAAGAAACAGAAGACTTATTATGAAAGTCTCTGATAGAGAGATTTTAGTGAAAAACAAGCTGAACTCAAATATCATTTTCAAACTTAGAAATGAAATTAATCAGTAGTTCTTCACTCAGATAATGAGTGATATTGAAGTTTAAAAATCAGTTATAGCTTTAATTGAGTTTTTTTTCTTTGAAAATTTTATTATTATAACTACAATGCCTGAGCTCAATGCCGAATTTCTCATTGAGAATGAGAATATCTGAAAATTAGCAATAAAACCTCTGCTAAACATATCAATTCTGTCTGAAAAAGATAAGAAATAAGAGAAATTTATTCTTTATAATATTGCAGTTGAAATTTTCAATTGTGTGAAAGAAATGCTACTTCTCAAAAATGAGTTAGATAAATACAATTATATTCAACTCAGAAAAGAGTCTGTATAACTGAATTTAATTAAATTTAGATAAAATAAAAGCAATATCTCTGTTCTAATATATACAAAGATATTTGAACCATCAAAAATCTCGGAGATAAAAGTGACAGGTTTGAAAATGAGAGTTTATAAATACAAAGATTCAAGAATGAATTTCAATACTTAAACACAGTGTTCAAACTGTCAAAGATATGAATACTTTGCAATCTCTTGTTTCAGAGACTTAAAACATGAATTTTGTGTAAATAATCACAAACCTAGTGAGTATAAATATGAAATATACTCAAAAAGAGATGAAACATGCAAACATACTCTGCTTAAATGCTTAAATTGTAAGAGAAACTGCAGCATATATCACCTGTAGTGTATGCCGATCACGTATCATACATGTAAAAAGGTAAATCTTGTCTTATTCTTCAAGATAGAGATGGGCGGACGCCTCTATATATATATATATACATGCTTGTTTGTTTATTGTGATTGACTTTTACAGAAGAAAGAAGTGAAAGCCTCAGAAAGAAAGAGGCAGAAGTCTGAGAAAGAAAGAGACAGAAGTCTCAGAAAGAGATGAAAGTCTCAGAAAGAAAGAGATAGAAGCTCTGAGAAGTAGCAAGAATGAATGTCACAGTTTCTCTGTCTGAAAAGAAATGAACATCTGAAAATGAGATAGCAGGAAAAAAAGCTAAACCTAATAAGAAATGAGTTAGGCATTTTTCAGATGCGGGTTAATATTCTTCTTATATAAGAGATGAGTAAAGAAAGAGGTTGAAACAATAAGATGATAATAACACAGTAATAAAGAGTCTGAGATAACAAGGTGATAGATATTATAGAGAATCTTTGTCTTTCATGAATATTATACAGATACAATGAGATGATAATGAAACAATAACTATGAACAAGATAAAGAGTCTGAGACAACAAGATGATAGAAGTCATAAGAATGAATAAATAGATGAAAGATGAAGAACTGTAAAATGCAGAGTGAATGCAGATAAAAGAGAATAAGAGAATTAAGAATGATAAAGTGTCACGCTCCCGGCTGCGCCAAGGCTCTGTTGCGGTTTCACACGGCTCATCACTTCCATGCGGATGATTTCATTTCATTCAAACCGGTTTCCAATCACTCTATGACATCATTCAGATATATCATAGAAAGATCTGATTAATAAATATGAGAAACCTCACTTCTATATAAGGTCAGCAGATTACTCTTTCTTGGCAATGAGATGTCACTGAGATATCACTCCAGCTATTCTCACTTGTGAAATGAAAGAAGAGTATCTGTTTATTATCTATATAGAATAGCTAGATGCTGGCTTCTTATAAAAGAAGTCAGT